TAGGAGATCCTTGTCACAATCTGCATAGAATAAAAAAGCCCTAGACTAGGATGTTAATGGTTGGCTAAAATGAAGCTGATAAGACATTTCAGAGATAGACATGACATTGACTGACTGCTGAAGGGGGAAAGACCAATATCATGGTTTCCCCATTTCTGTTACCTTCACTAATCACTGATGCTTGGCATCATAGCTTTGGTTTTATACCATGCTGTATGCTGTATACACATTTCCTTCTCAGGAAATGATTGTTTCACATTACATTTAAAGGTTTATACATTTGTATACATGTTACATCTCCTCTCCTCTCTTTCCTTCTCCCGTTTCTCGTCTCTGCCCCCTTTTCTCCTTCTTTGTGGGAGGAGGATCTGTATTGCCCAGGCTGACCTCAAACTAGGCTGAAGTGGTGATATTCCTGCTTTAGCCTCCCCAATAACTGGGGTTTTGTTTTTTCAGCACACTGATTCGATTAATAACAGTTATGTATGAGAGGCAAATTAAACTGCCTTGACATAATCAAAATCTGTATCTGTTGTTTCAATAAATCTAAGCATATACCTCCAGTTACTTTACTGAGACAGTTAAAGACACTGTGTAAATACCTTAGAACATATATGTAAATAAGGTGATGCCCATTCCTTATTAGTAAGCTTATTACTAATTAGTAAGCTTATTAGTAAGAAAAACAATATCTGTAAAATCTGAAAAAATACCATCTCCCAGAGTTAGCAACAAATATAGCTCACCAAAACTGTGGGAAATGCTCAAAATGGTCATTTGGGGCTAAACAACACTGTTAGTTATTTAGAGATTATTCTTTGCAAAGCCTAAGACTTTGATTAATTTAGTTTGTCTCCTAGAATTTGGAGAAATAGTTATTTCATATATTGAAGATTACTTGAAGAGTGTTGAAGGGCCTATTATTTTCTAGACTTTCTCCACGTTTTTTAATGTAAGAAATCAGCTTTAGCTACTATTTAGGGCTTGGCTTCTGTTTGTTGGCTTTTTATGCTCACTGTTACACTTTGTTATTGTTACATGTCTTCCCTTTGTCTCAGTATCTCAGCTTTGTGTGTCTTGGACTTGAAGATTCTTATCAACATCAGCGTTCAGAATTGAGTCTTCCTTGATAGGACATGTTTGAAGTAAACCCTTAGTATGTTTGCCTCAGTTTTCTTTAAAATACAAAGAACTGTGAACATACTGTCAATTTTTTGAGTTATCTTTTAGGAACAAATAAGAAAACTAGAGTCTCTGTAGTTATGGTTTCCCCCTCCATTATAGCCTATTATGTAAAACACCAGAACAAGATAGCATGCCTGGTGGTTAAAAGCACAGGCTCCAAATGGAGACTGCGTGGGTTCTAATCCTCATTTTGCCTCTTGCCTGCTGGGCAGACATGGGCAGAGTACCAGAACATCTTGTTTCTATGTCTGTAAAATTGGGAGGATAATTCCAGTTCCAAAGGATTATTGTCTGGATTGAAGATGTAATTCATTAAAAACATTTCTCTGAAATAAAGCATAATAAATGATAGCTTGGTATTGCAGTATCATTTTTGTCATTATCAAAATGCCTAGTTGTTATCACTAAAAATGAGAGATACATTTTGTATTGGAAATTTAAAATTAAAGCTCAGACTCTTTAAAAATCCAGTATCTCTTTAAAAGTCAAGTCTCCCCATTGCAGGCTCCTATACAATAAAAAGTTACATACTTCTTGTTCCAAGAGGAAGAACCAGAACACAGTTAAAATCAGATCAAGGCAAAAGCCATCATGCAGTGTAAATGTTCATTGTCTAACATCTGGAACACACACAGGATCTTCTGGGCTCCTAAGGCCTTGGCATGCTCCTCTTCTCCAGCATTACCATCCACATCACACAAAGCTTGTCTTGTAAGTGCAGACAAACTGCACTCCACACCTGCTGTTGTCCTTAGGGGTCGTTCCATGGCCTTGCATCTCCAGTATATTCTGGACTCAATTGCAACTGACTATACCTTCACCAGTGTCCTCTGCTGGCCTCTTACAATGCCAACCCTCAAACACTTCATGATACTTTTCATCTTGCAGCTTTCATGTCACCAAAACATGTGGAGAACTCTTACATATTGTCAAGTTCAGCCTTGGCTCCCTCTTAGCTACAGCTGTGTGTAACCCTAGAAGATTGTACCTCAGTGTTTTTTAGCCTCAGCTAACCAGTAAAGCAGAGGTTTCACTTTAGTGGTACTGGGCTCTTGCTAATCGCAGCCAAGTTTTCAATCCCAGCTGTCCAGAAACCTCAAATTGTTAGTACTAGTATCACCCAAACAGCCCTGAGTTTTTGCTTTCCTCTGAACTTCACACACCTGATCTCTATCGTCTGCATTGGACAGGTACTTACACACACACACACACACACACACACACACGAGAGAGAGAGAGGGGGGGGGAGACAGAGAGGGAAAGAGATACAGAGAGGGAGAGAGAGACAGAACGAGCAGGAACCAGTTGGACCCACCTGTGATTTACTAGTCTAGCAAGCTGCCAATTAGTCTCCTGTTGACTACTATCTCTTAACATTGGTCTTCAGGAGAGCAGCCCTTGTGAGAAATAAAACACATGGTCCTTCAAGGGTCTATTCCATATCAAGAGATAAATTATGTTGTAGAAGACTGAGAAATTAGTATAAAGTACTGCTCTCACTGGTTGAGTTACTTTCCCTCTTCAGTAATAATTTATTCTCTCTGGAACTAACAACTTATAAACTGTAAGAGCTGTTTATTTTATCATATGGAGATAAAAAAGTATAGTAAGTAACCATAGTTATTGGGTTTTAAAATGTAGTTACTCATTTTAGTCAATATAGTTTCACACAGTTAAAGCATTGAAATATATATGCTTAATGAGTTCATAAGCCTAAAACTAAAATTAGATGTTTGGAAAAAAGTGAGGAAATGGGTTTCAGTTTTTTCGTTAACCAGAACATTGCATCTTTAGGAGACTGTTTCATTCTTTCATTTTATCCTAGCTAATTAAACTTATTTTTCTCCCAGTTTGGTTTCTCTGTCATTTATTCAGAGATTAAAATATCTGTATCTAATATGAAGTTACAGAGCTTCTTTAGATAATTATCAGACAAAATAAGAAATGTTCTCCTGCCTTACCAGTTCCTCTCTCCCTGCCTGTATTGTCCCCCAACTTTAGAATCACCTGACTTGAATAGATCATTCTTAAAGTCATTTCTTGAAGTCTGAAGGTCTTGCTGTTTGGTGCACTCCAGCAAGCTGATTTGCTTAAATTCCTTTGTGCCATTCCCACGAATCTGAGTTAATTATACTGCCATCTTTCAGAGATGGATGTTAGAAGTCACGTGTGCCTAATTCTGAAAATGACTTCCTACATTAAGACTCGTTTATCCACTGATGGTTAGAGAAACTGAGACATAGTTACTGGTCATAATTTAAAAAATACGGCAATATCATGGAACTGTCTTCTACTGCAGGCATATAAGCTGCAGTATCAACTTCTCAGTCATTAGGAATATTGTAATTTGGCTAATATCTTAATGGTCAAGATGCCACAAGGAGATGAAAGAAGACCTGTATCCAGCATGCAAACAGTGATAGGGTAAGCACTTCCAGTTGGCTTTTCTTAGGCAGCATTGATTTGTGTGTGCATTGCTGGGTCTATGTAAGATGGTGTCCTTTTAACACTGGCCGAATTTAAATGTCAGTAATTTTTTTTTTCTGCAGATTAGGGTAATACAGAGAAATTTTCTGTTAAGTAAGGGGAGGCAATGGACGCCTGTTAATAGCTTAAAAGTAACTAATGAGGATGTGCAGTCAGACGATTGATTGAATGAATAGCTGCAGTCCTGTGTGCTTCTTTCTCGCTCGCTCTCTGCAAGCTGTGGAGAGGGAGGGGGAAGAGCAAGGCAGGGAGGGAGCACGAGGGGAAAAAAATGCTTTCTCTTAAGTGGAAGTAGCACGGATCCCAGGGGCCAGGAGGCCAGAAATGGAAGTTTAAACTGCATCTATCTTTTTAAAGGCAGAACAGCAGGAATCAAAATGTCAGTCTCCGGAGTCACGGTTTACTCTTTATTTTTTAAGATCTGGAAGACAACACAGAATACTTTTTTTAGGATATGTGGTTTTTTTGTTTTTTGTTTTTTGTTTTTTTTTCCCTTGTCCATGTTGAGATTATCTAATGTTATCTGAGAAGCTGGATTCTTATCTGTCAGTTGAAGTGGAGATGGGAAGCAGTTGTGATAAAGGTATAATATGTATAAATATCTGTGTGTGCATGTGTTTATATGTATAGTATATGTCATGGAAAAAAAGTCCTTTAAAATATATTGTTAATGTGGTTTATAGCTCTTAAACTAGAGATCACATCATTTACAGAATCCTAATCTTGTTAGGTCATTTGAACAGATCTGTGATTTTAGAGTAAGATGTGAGTAAGGTCATAATAGCCAGAACAAGGGGAAGTGGCTCTATTTTTATATCTGCATAGGCATGTATTATTCTTTTATCCTGCAGCACCTTCCAGTCTTCTCATAGCTTTTGCTACAGTCTGGTGAATCATATGTATAGAACCGAACTTTGACCTTTTCATAAGCAGTGTCAAATCATGCGCAACACTAGTATTTCTGGTTCACAAAAATAGGAGTAATTTCTGATTTACTTAACTTCTAAATGGCTGCTAGAGAAGTAGAGCCATATGGTACCAGATAAAACTAGTAAGTGAACCTGGAATCCCTAAACAAAGTGTAGCTTGGAAAGATTACTTCTTATACATGCACAGGTGAAAACACAAGTTGTCTCTTAGAATAGATTCTTAACCCTGATCAAGTTTCCGTATCTCCATAGGTCAAACATCAAAAAGATACCTAAAACATGTTGAGAACTTTAAATAAAACAGCTTTTCTGTGTGTGAAAAAATAATAATTTTATGGTTTACACAAAGTCTGAAATTGTGGATCCTTCTTGATATTTCTACTGCCTTCACTTTTCCAGAGGTGCCAGCAGAAAGGTCCCCCCGCAGACGGAGCATCTCAGGGACCAGCACTTCAGAGAAACCCAACTCCATGGACACTGCAAATACCTCTCCTTTCAAAGTACCCGTAAGTATTGCTTTTCTCTCTCTGTGTGTGTGTGTGTGTGTGTGTGTGTGTGTGTGTGTGTGTGTATTTCCTCAAAAATTTCATTGCAATACTGAAGTATAAATTTCTATTGATTCACTGTGAATCATATCCAGCATGAGGTCTATTAGATTTTAAGGAATACTATTTTTACTTGTGGGCTAATTTAAAAATATAACTAAGTACCTTAAATCTGAATTTTTCTGTATTGCACAGTGCAAATCTTTGTGTCATTTAATCTAGTTAGTTATTAGCTAAAATATATTAATATTAAGTACAAGCATTTGCCAAAAGCATACTGAAATGGGAAAACTGAAATGGAGCAGTATAGCTGGCTGATAGGTAGAGTTCTATATTTTTATGCTTTACTATTTTATAACTTACTGTGTGCACGTGTGTACTTGTGTACACAAATGTACTTGTGTACATTTAGTCCGATGCACATGTGGAGGTCAAAGGATAACTTTGTGGAGTCTGTTCTCCTCTTCTCTTCTACTTCTTTATGGGTTCTAAGAATTGAACTTGGGCCATCAGGCTTGAGTGGCCTTAACTTACTGAGTCATCTTGCCAGCTTCAAGTAACTCAGATTTTTGAATCTATTTTGTGAACATATGAAAATTTGTAGTGTTATAAAAGGCATATTTGAAGAGAATTGTTTCAAGAGATTTGTCCTTATTCTAAGTACAACAAAAATTAGTGTAAGATAGAAATAAACTTTTCTATTTGGAAAAAAAAAACACTTTTTTCCCTCTTAAACAAACTAATATGTTCTTATTCTAATCCTTTTAAGTTGAGATGGCCTTTTAAGTAGAACCTTTATTAGATATAATAGATGTGTTAGTTACACAAGTAGACTTTGTTTTTCTGTTAACTCTGAAACCAGTATAATTACCTCTTTCACATTAAGAGTCGGTAGAGTTTGTGGATATCTGTTTCTGTAAGAACCATTCAAAGTTTTACAGATTTCTCTAGACTGTAAGTGAGTGCTACATTAATGCTGTAATCATGATGTGGAAGTTATTTAAGAGCATCAGATGTAATGTCTTACTAAATTTTTTAATTTTATAGACACAGCTACATGTTTTAATTTTTGTGAATGAACAAAAACATGTTTCTTTTACCTTTTCTTTTTTTCAAACAGAGTAAAAACCAATTCAGCTTAACATGTATTAGTAGTTGTGCTGGTTGGTTTTTTTTTTTTTTTTTTTTTTGTTTGTTTGTTTGTTTGTTTTGTTTGTCAACTTAACATATCTGGGAAGAGGGAATTTTAATTTAGAAAGTGCCCTATAAGATTGGTTTTAGGCAAGTTGGTAGAATATTGTCTTAATTAGTGATTGATGTTGGGGGCCCAACCCATTATGGGTGGTGTCATGCCTGGTCCTGGGGTTTATAAGAAAACAGACTGAGCAAGCCAGGTAAGCAGCACCCCTCCATGACCTCTGCATCAACCTCTTCATCTTCAGGTTCCTATCCGTATTTCCCTCCATGATGCACTATGATGTAATAAATCCTTTCGTCCCCAAGTTGCTTTTGGTATTGGTATTTTATCACAATAATAAACACCCTAACTAAGACAGTAATTCCGAAGAACATCATCGTACTTCAGTGTGTATTATGCAGCAGTTCACAATGATAACAGTGATCCTAAATTATTAAGGAAAAAAAAGAGGTTTTCTTATGTTTTGCTAAATTTTTGAAGGTGTAACCGAGTATATTCTATATCAATCAATTTAATAATATGCACAACAACAATGTGCATAGTTCAGTGATGTACTCGACTGGATTGAGTTCTAGTTAAGATTTTCACACTGTCTAGCTGAATTTCTTACATTTTTCTTAAAGTACACAATTGAAAATAGCTCTCTGCACCATGGTAACAATGAAGAATGTCCTAAATTATGTGTAAGATTTGTGTTCAGATTTTTTAAATTTTTAATTAAATTAAGAACTTCACTTTTTGCTTATTTGAATACTAAATTGGCAACGGATTTAAATGCTATCTTAATAAAACTAAACATTTGTAAGTAGAAGTTTCAGAGCAATGAAAGAGAAGTACTTAGACCAAGTACTACTTACAAACCATGTAATTTTTGATAATCATAGAAATAATGAAGGAAAGAAAAGGCTCCATACTGGCAAAATTACAGTCACAAAGCCATGTATTTCTAGGAGAATTAACCACCCAAAAGCCCTCACCTAGAACTCTTTTTTTTTTTTTTTAATCAGCTCCCTCTAAAAGAAACAGGCAACATGTTCTAGTAGTCTTGGAGCATGTTATCTTATTTCAAAGTAATACAGTATACAAAAGTTGACACTGATAACAGTGATCTCAAATCATTTTAAAAATGAAATTGTATTTGCTTTCTTATTTTTTAAAAGTATAACTGGGTTTGTTATATATCATTTGAGAATACTTTACATCTTGAAATAGGTGATCTTCATAAAACTTACTTTTCAGAAAGATCTATTTCATGCTAGATAAACACATTTTTATTTATTCTTGGCAAAATCATGCATGTATATAATGTATTTTAACCATAATCACTCCTCTTTTTCCTCTTTTAGTTTGTCATCTCTTTTTCTCATTTAACAGTGAATATCTATTCTGATTATCTTTGTAACCACCCCAGGTGCTCCATACAGTACCTTACATATAGCAAAAATCCAATCAATAGTTGTTGAGAAGATAAACATATGCACGAATTACACAAGGATCCAAATAATATGATTTTATTTCACATTTAGTCTCTTGGTATAGATGATGTCTGTAGTAAATTGAAATAATTGCTATATAGTTATCATTTCAAAAGAGAGTATTTGAAATGAGTGTGCCTGTTCAAAATAGGTTTGTTTTTTGAATTTTTAGTTAACAGTTGGGACTAATGTCTAGAGTACATTCTGTATATTTGGAAATTAAAACTAGTTGGAATTTATTTAATTTGTTTCTTGAAATATTTCTTTTGAGTCCTTTAAATATGCATATGTACAAGCTCAGAATGTTTTTGGTACTTGTGAGTTTTGTCCTAGATTCTTCAATTATAATCATTTGAATAGCTTTTGCTTAAAAAGAGCATTTTTGGTTGTTTGTCTTCTTTAACATTTTGCTAGGGTATATTTTTGCCTTGGTGTATTTGTGTTTTTTTTGTATATAAAACATCCTTTGTATATTTTATGCATTGCTTAAATGACATTTAAGTGATTTTTATGGTGAAAATGAGAAACAACTGACTAAAATCAGTTATCTCTGCTTAAATTTAGTTCAAGAAGGAAAACAAACATATCTTAAGGTTGTATATAATTGTTTCATACATAGTTTTTAAAAAAAACTATGGTTTTGGAACAGGCTTCTTTATACCCTATTTATAAAGTGACTATTTATATTTAAGATTTTTGTATGACTTTTGCTTAGATGATACCATCCATTTGGCATTGACTAGAGAGAGCTGCTTGTTTTCCGGGCCAGGTGTTCAGCTTAGTGTTCTCATTTCCATAGCACAATGATCTGAGTTGGCCTTGTCTATATAACACAATGCAGTCGCAGCTGCACCATTTATATTAGCTTTGAGCTTAGCTCTGAAAGAATTCAAACACTATAAAATATGCTAAGACACCCAGAAAGCATAGTTGAACTAAGGCAGTAGCCTAATATTTCTGTATAACCTTCCTTTTCCTCTTGTTACTATGACCCTTGACCAGTCCTAGTCCAACAAATATGTAAATATGATTGTCAAATGATTAAACCTTTGTGTGTATGTGTGTGTGCACTTTTTTGTTTTTGTTTTTAACCCTCTGGAAAATAAAGTGCAGACTATATTAAAGTTCTGCATAAAAAGATACTGGGGCTGAAGAGAAAGGCCAGCAGTTGAACACTGGCTGTTCTTCCACAGGACCCCAGGCTAAGTTCCCAGCACCCACACTGGGGCTCATAGCCTATAACTCCAATTCCAGGGTATTCGATGCCCTCCACTGGCCTGTGCACATATGTATTGCACAGACATATATGCAAGCAAAACACTCATACACATAAAGTCAATAAATCTTTTAAAAAGCTTTTAAAACACCAAAAAAAGATGGTATCCCCTCTCTTAAGTACCATGCTGTGAAGATCAGCTGGTATTGGTTTCTGTTGTATCTGGTGTCTTCTGTGTGGTCTATATAAGTACTTTTCTAAATTAGTCACAATTTCATGCATACTTTGGATTAGAAAGTATTCATTGTCCAAACCAGTGGTTTTCAAATCTAACTAGCCATAAAATTTACCTTTCATAAAATACACTGATACTTAAAGATGAGCCTGATGGTGGTGGTGGTGGGTTTGTTTGGGCTTTTTTTGGTTTTGTTTTTAAAGATTCCCAGATGCTTCTGTTATGTACCCTGCAATTGAGAATTGTTTGCCTTCATGATTGGTAAAATATAAGGAACTAATTTGTGCAAATCTTACCTGCAAACATTGGTGCTTTCTTTATCCTTTCAAGTATGAAGTTTAGTGTCTTGGCATGCAGGACAAAAGAATAGAGTTAAATACAACTCTGAAGAATGGAATCTAAGACTAGAGATTGATAGTTACCTGGGGAAGGGAAGAGGCTTGGCAGAAGTTGTTATCAGGAGTGTAACTTGAAAGAATCAAAGAATGGTATGAAGGAAACACTCCTACCTATAGTAATCCTCAGAAATAGACTTGCAGCAGACTAAGTACTAAAAGTCCATTTTATCCCACCCAGGAGAAAAGGCTTGTTCCAGAGGATAATGCAGTCACCTATATATAGCACATTCTTTAGATAACCATCCCTCTTGTCCCAAGAAAAGGTATTTCTCCTTGCCTTCAATAGGGGAGAGCGGCTCAACTTTCACTTTATAATTAAAGATAAATGTTGCAAACTAATGCCCATTTAAGGATGACATTATCCAGTAAGCATACCAAATATGTAGAACAGACATCAAATATTTCCCTCCTGTATAGGAGTTCAGAAGCTAGTGATATG